AATGATAATGATAATGATAATGATAATGATAATGATAATGATAATGATAATGATAATGATAATGATAATGATAATGATAATGATAATGATAATGATAATGATAATGATAATGATAATGATAATGATAATGATAATGATAATGATAATGATAATGATAATGATAATGATAATGATAATAATAATAATAATAATAATTTATAACAACAAGAATTTAAAATAAATATTTTTAAAGCTTTTTCCAGTTCCTTCCAGTTTTTTCCAATTTCTTCTAGTTCTTCCAGTTTTTTCCAGTTTCTTCCAGTTCCTTTCAGTTGCTTCCAGTTCTTCCAGTTCCTTCCAGTTTCTTCCAATATCCAGCTCTTTTTTTACAGTCCTAGAGAACATGCCCTAAGTAGGGGTAATAACTTTACAACAGATAATACATTATAATAGAGTTATTAATGTTCAAAAAAAATTTGTAAAATGCTAAAATCAAGCCCTTTCGATTAAAAAAAGTTTACTTTTTTGAAATGATAAACACACGCACTATAAAAGTAAACGAGTATTAAATAGTTTATTTGTCTCAAAAACTTCTTAAACTTACAACTTTATACGTGGTAACGAGTTTTTTGCAATATTTTCTAAGTGTATTGGCATTGATTGTTAACAAAATAATAATCATATCATCTTTTATTTACGCACTTTTATTCCTAGAATTTATTAATCGTTATTAAACACTATTCTCCTCTCTCCTCTTGCGTTGGCCATAAATTCTAACTGTACATGAGAGTCGGCGTTTTGCTCGTCACGCCCCGTCACGAGGTAACCACAACAACATAGGGGGTGTGACCATGGCATGTCGAACGGGCCAGGGCTGGACCACCATCACAAGTGTGGCTGGTGTTTTTGTTGATGAAGTATGCGTTTTCCAACGACAAACTACTTGCTTTATAATATTCCATCCGTTCGAAAATATTCATCACATTTGACTTTTTTATCAAAGTTTGTAAACTTTGACTATGATTTGTGGAAAAAAACATATTGTCAATATATTTTTAATGAAATATAGTTTTCAAATATCAAATTTTTATAAAATATATCTATGTATAGATATAGATATGAATGGTTAAAGTGTAACATTGGAGGTCGTGAAAAGTCAAACAAGAAGAATATTTCCGGACGGAGAGAGTAGTTATTTGTTTAAAATTTGAAAAATAACCATTAGGGTTAAAAACATTTCTATAAATTCATTAGAGATGAGAGGCTAGATCAATTAAATTAGGCAGCATTCTGTTCAACTTATTTTTCTACCGATTATTTATTCTTATTATAATCAGATTAAATCAAATTAGATTAGAAACAACTTTAATTACAATTGCAATTAGATCATATCAAATTTTCAAAAAATACTATTAGATGAGGCCAAAGGAACTTACTCAGCTATATAGTCCATACAAAAAATGAGTTCTGACGACTCAACGAGTATTGCACGGAATAAGCAGTATAGATTGTCAAACAGGTACAACCTTCTGGCGCCCGTTTCTTGGATCCCTGTTTATTAATCTAATCGCTCCATCATTTCATTATTTTCTGGACCCTTGATTGTCGTGGTTATGAAATGAAATTGTTCGCCGCTTTTATGATAAGCATCTGTGAATTTCGCTAAGAACTGGCTTGCAATCCGTTAAGAAATGAATTTTGTTTTTGTAGATCCTAGTTAGATTGCAATCCCTTCGGTTTAATTGTGATGTTTAATTGGTGCTGATTGAGGTTAGGCACTGATATTTGAACACGGATTACTTCATACTCCATCCTTCGGGATTTACTGGTCCACTTTTTAGAATAACCCTAATTGAAGGAATGTGAACAAAAGGGAAAAGGAAAAAAAGGATCTCTTATAACAATATACAGAGTAATATCTTGATAACCATTTCTGAGCTGAATAATACGTTGTTATGCGATTGTTTAGCTGCATTATGTGTTGTCTGTTGTAATCAAGCCCTTCTGCATTCACTCGATCCCTTCTCAAATCACAATTTCAAAATTTCTTTATCAAAACCCTAATACTCCCTCCTTCCCGTGCCAAAAGGCACATGAGGGTTTTTGTGGAGATTAATGAAAATTTAGAAGCGATTGAAAAGGTAGGGAATGGGTGTAAAAGGGATAGAAAAGTAAGGAAGAGAGTGTGAAAGTGATTGAAAAAGTAAGAAAGATTGTGTAGAAGTAATTGAAAAGATGGAAAAAGTAAATGAAAAAATAGAAATGTTATACTCCATATCCATAGTTATTTAAGACGTGATGCGCACCGATGCACAAAGGACCTCTAATGCCTCGATGCGTGTTGCTCAAAAAATGCACCCGCATCATGAACATGAGGCGCAGATTAATGCACTGGTAGAATTTCTAGTGTGTGTGTGTGTATAATTTTGAAAAGCATAATAAAGGTTAAGAAACAAATGTTTAAAAAAATAGAATGATATAAAAAATAGAGAACAATATGTTTTTGCAAAAAACCAATGAAAAACAGAAGGACTTTCCCAGTAGAAAGAAGAGAAACCAGCAAGAGAGAAAAAATATTGTAAGAAGGAAGAGAGCCAACTTAACCTGCTATTGCCACTTGCCCAGTAGGTGTGCCGGTTTGGAGAAGGACTTGCGAGACTGAGGAGGAAGAGTCGTACTTGAATCAAAGAAATAAAAGAAAGAGAAAACAATCGTTTAATTTGCCCAGTAGGTATGCTGTTTAATCTCCTTGGGATCGTAAAAGTTGGCAGGGGTTAGTCGTAATAAATATTAGCGTTAATCCTTAAACCTAATTAATAAAAAATAAAAATAAAAAACATATGTTCACAAGGCGCGCCTTTTTGTGCATCAATGCAATGCGCATATTGCGAAGAGGCACAGTAAGGCGCGTGCCTCACGAACAACGCGCGCATCAAGGTTGGGGATGCACTACTCCTGGTGCTTCGTGCGCATCGCCCCTCAAGCGCGCTTTTCACAACTATGTCCGTATTAAATATAGAAGTTTGCCTTTTGGGGTGGGACAATAAAAAAAGGGATTTGTGCCTTTTGGCATGGGCCGGAGGGAGTAGTATTTCCCTTTTGGGAAAATTTAATACTAGTCCTTATTGTAGCACAAAATGTACTCATCGGTAACTCCCTCATATATATTGTACTTGTAAACAAGGTGTTTAATGGGGGCAAAGTGTTGGGCGGTTAAGAAGACTCATGTGCGTCATCTGCATGCGGCGGAGATGCGGATGTTACGATGGATGTGTGGGAAGACAAGGTTGGATAGGATTTCGAATGAAGTTATCCGACGTCAGTTAGGCATGACGCCGGTGGAAGATAAGCTGAAGATAAGTTGCGGGAAGCGAGGTTGAGATGGTTTGGTCATGTGAGACGGCGGAACGCTGACGCCCCTATACGGAGATGCGAGAGGATGACGGTTGTCAGGGGAAGTAGGGGAAGGGGTAGACATAGGAAGAATTGGAAGGAGGTGATTAGGCAAGATTTAGAACTTTTCACCCCTACTGAGGATATGACTTTAGATAGGAACCTTTGGAGAACTAGGATTAGAGTAGCTGGATAGGGACCCGGTGCTTCATAGGTTTTTTTGTAGTGTGTTTTGTTTGGTTGGAAATTTTGCTATTGCTTGCAGGACTTTCATTCCATTTTATCTGTGTTATACTGTGATTCTTATCATATTTTTTATGCAATTGGAGCCGGGGGTCTCTTGGAAACAACCTCCATACTTCCGAGTAAGGGCAAGGTCTGCGTACACACACCCCCCAGACCCTACGGTAGTGGGATTCAACTAGGTTGTTGTTATTGATGTTGTTGTTGTAAACAAGGTGTTGATGATAACTGTGATTTTAGGATCTTCTTGACAAGTGGAATTTTCATCTTATCGACCTAACAATCCTATGTTGCTGTGTATTTGCGTTTAGTCCAATTTCTCCTTTTTCGTTTATGGGGTTGGTTAATATTTGTCTCATGTCTGCAAATTTCTAGTAAGTTTATTATTTATCTCTAGATTTTGGGACTGGGCGATTCATTGAATTGTAGAACACCAATACCATACTTTGAGAGTTGCTAGTGTTGTTATATAACATGAGTTTTGAATTACTTGTAGACTACTAAAACTATTGGATTCTTTTCAACATTTTCTTTTAACCATGTTCAGAACTTCAACTCATTTCAAAAACTAAAATACATACTCCTTGCAATGTGGTTCTTTTCACCCTGGTGACAACGCACCATTTGAAAGTCGTATGATGTTTCTTTGGGCCCATAGTTGTGAAAAGCGTGCCTGAGGCTCGCATCTTGTGAGGCACAGGGCTCTGTGCATTCTTCGTGGTGATGCAGAAGATGTTTGTTATGCGAGCGCATACCTGTGCATCAACGCAATAAGCGATCAAATGTGCGAATCGCGAACGTGGATAAAAAAGTTTTATTTTTAATTTTTTTAGTTTATTTAGGAGTTCTTTGTGATAAAAAGATTTCAGAAAAGAGGAAAGGAAGGTTTTATAAGGACGTGGTCACACTGGCAATGCTTTATGGTGTAGAATGTTGGCCGGTTAAGAAAGTCTACATTCGTCAACTACATGCAGCTAGGGGTGAGCAAGTACCGAACCGATACCGAAGTTTCCCGAAAAAACCGAGAATACCAAACCGAAAAATACCGAACCGAAAAAGTACCGAGAAGGAACTGAACCGTACCGAACCGAATGGTCGGTACGGTATTTGGGAACGGTACGAGGTGACTTCCCATACCGAAAATCCCGAACCGAACATATATACTAAAATATTATAAAAAAATAATATCTCGGAGTAATATTTTTATATTCCTTCACTAAATAATACGGAGTAATTTTTTAAAAAAATTGGTTCAAGTTCTATTATGTGTAAATTATACTTTTATTTGAGTTTTAGTTTTTGTGTATGAACATAAAAGTATTCAAAAAAAATTCAATATACTCTTTTGTTTTCGTTCATTTTTTTAGTTTGTGAAATATAAACTAAGTTTTGATACTCATCTCTTGCATTTAAATATTCATTTTTTTTTAATTTTTCATGTTTTTTTATTTAAATTCACTTTTAATTTTCAAAAATAAAGGGGCATTGTTAAGTTTTAAGGTGTAAAGTAGGTATGTATATTCATCTCGATTTGTACCAAAACCGATACCGAACCATCCCGAACCATACCGAACCGATATTTTGGGATCGGGATCGGTACGGAGTAAAATCCCCTACCGAACCGAAATATTTGGTACGGTATCGGTACGAGCTAAATACCGTACCATACCGTACCATGCTCACCCCTACATGCAGCAGAAATGCGGATGCTACGGTGGATGTCTGGGCAAACACGGTGGGATAAAATCCAGAATGAGGTTATTGAGAGACTGGTGGGAGTGGCATCAGTGGAGGATTAGCTTCGAGAGGTTAGAGTGAGATGGTTTGGTCATGTGAGAAGGCGGGCACCTGAGGCTCCGGTGCGAACATGCGAGAGGCTTTTGATAGTTGGAGGGTGCGGGGGTAGGGGTAGACTTAGGAAGAATTAGAAGGAGGTTGTTAGGCAGGACTTAGGACATTAGGCTCTTACTGAGAATATGGTCTTAGATAGGGATGTCTGGAGATCTAGGATTATAGTAGTTTGGTAGTCGTTTAGTGTAGGGTGCTAGTTTTGTTCGTGTTGTTGTGTGTTGTGTTGGCTTGACGTATTTCTTCTTCCAGTTGGCTAGGTACCTTATCCCTTTGTGTACTCTGTCTTCTTGTCGTGCTACTTGATTTTTGTGCTGTTTGAGCTGGGGGTCTCTTGGAAACATCCTCTCTACTCTTAGTGGGGTAAAGTCTGCGTACACACACCCTCCATAGACCCTGCTTTTGAGGGATTCTACTGGGTTGTTGTTGTTGACTCAGCCAAAATTTTCACTTCTCTCTGTGTTTCCTTCTGCGGCTTCGTTTCTTTTGCCACTTTATCGCTAGGGCTTCTTCTCTCCGATTTGACTTTGCTTCCTCCCCGCATTGATTTTGCTTCTGCTCTCTTTAGATTCTCTATTTGCTTGCTTCATGTTTCAGTTTCTTGTATATTTTTTCATTGTTTTAACTGCGAGGCTTCCCCTTTTTTCCTTATATTTTTGTTTCTTCATGTTGATACATGGCTCTATTTGGAATTTGTTGCTGGCACGTTTCAACTTAGTAAATGAGTTCTTTAATTTTTTTAAGTCATGAGGCATCCTCGTTTTTGTTTATCACTTAGTTTTGTTTTTCCCTTCATATACACTATTTTGACGGAGGGGTCTGGCTCAACGTTTGAGGCTTCACTCATTGTTTGATGTTCCACAACTCATTAATTGTTTGTGGCATGTTTAATTGCCACTGGCTGCTTTTGTTCTCTGAACTTTAGGTTTTTTATGTTAATGTTTCTCCGTGTGACTTTGATTCTTGGTTGCTTTCTGAAAGTATATTACGCGTATGTCTTTCACAATTTTATATGTGTGTGGGTGTGTGTGTGTGTATGTATGTATATGTGTGTTATATATGTGTGTGTGTGTATTGTTGCTAATTTACTAAATTTAGAGCTACTATGCTACTACTCCATACCTTGTGCCTCATGTTTGTGATGTTCGCGCATTAATGGCGCATCGAGGCTCCAGACCCCCTTGGTGCATCAGTGCGCATCGTGCCCTAAATAACTATGGCACTTGGGCGCAGTACCGGGGGTGGGTTCAGGGGTTCCTTTTAAGGCCGGGGGAGGTGGTGGATGATGCCGATATGCTACAAGAGGGATCGGCGTCAGCCAGGGTGGCTGGGGGAGGGAGTAAGGATAAGGGGGGGTTCGGATAATGGGTGTCCGGGTCGGGAATAAGATGGATATGACCCAGTCTTGGGCGAACCAAGCACTGTGGGCCTCTCAAATGGATCTGGTGTCATCGGTGTCAAACTATTGCTGATGTCTGAAGAGTCGTTCCGTAGTATGGAGTACTTAACATCCCTTTATATTTGCTATTTAACCAGGAGAAGGTAGGACACAATGGAAGTAGCTGATAAAGCTGTTGGGCTGCTATTGACGATTACTAGTTTGTCCATTTTCACTTACTATACCTTCTGGGTCATTATTCTGGTCAGTTGTCTTTCAATTACTCTTTTTTTTCTTCTAATAATTATTTTACCATATGCTATGGTAGGGATGAGATCTTTTATTCCAACAATTACATTTTGTATTCCACCGGTAAGATGACAACCACACGCGCTTCACTTGTCAATCACAATGAAGTGTGCATAAAAATTACCGTTAGCCAGTTAGGTAATGAATGTGAATCTACCGTCAATGTCCTTATAAAGATACTCTTTACTATGTAGGAGACGGATCCCTAACTCATGGTAAATACCCGACATGGTAGTAGTACAGTGACGGGAATACGTATATGGAATAGATGATCTCATCCCGTTTTCCTAAGTCGGCCTTCATACATATCAATGGAATGAGACGTGTGTTTTTCAGCCTTTTGTCGACCGCGGCCATTTTGTGCACAACTACTTTCTCCCACAAGAATATGCCATTCTCATTCCCGTGTTTGCTGGTGTGGCGCTTCTCAGCTTCCTAAGCATGTTTGTTGGATATGTGATGCTCAAATCCAAGAAGAAAAAGAAGGCATGATCCATCTTCAACACGATACTTACTATATTGGTTATTGTTATTTATGGTTTTTATCGCTGTATTGGGTTATTTTGTTTGGCATTTATAATCATTTCTTCCACCAGTCTACTTTTAATATTTTCCTTTATGTGTTGTTTTGTTTGTTCCTCCCTTATGTGATAGAGGTCGTTCTCAATCAATAGGTTTTGATTGGGCGGAACCAGACATGATTTATTGTTTAGTAGAATAGGCTTTGATTAGGTTGTCTATGGAACCAGACATGATATAATGTTTAGTATCTTTTTTCACTGTGATTTTCTCTTATCATAAAACCTTTCAATGTTTTATTCAGAGACACACACATGCTCTCCATGTTGTGCAGACACAGACATGAAAAGTTTGTGTATGTGAATGCCTGGAGTACAAATGGGTGGGTATTTCAATTTTTGGTACTCCTAGCATTGCCTTAAAAGTTACGAAGTAAAACATTAGACTATTCCTGAAGCCCCTAAGAAGGCTATAAACAATTAGGAGTTTATGGTAGAAAGAGAGGATGATCCTCATCTAGCTTCTTCTAATGACCGGCCCGGAGAGTAATTTAGTTAAATTAAATTGTGTGCTTTGATCAATAGAGAGTGAGATTTGTGTCTAGTATATGGGAAGACCCAATGTTGCTTATTGTCCATTTTGCACCCCATATTGACCAACAAAGTTATGTCACCGTGCGGGTTTATGGTAGAAAACTTAATTCAAAAACTCTTAAGACCAAGAGGGTTACCAAGTAAGATTATTTAAAAAAAACTTATGCACCATAATTTCATGTCGAGCAGCATCAAGGGTTTTTCATGCCACGGTTTTGGCTAGAAGTAAGGCCCTGTTTGGTACACGAAATTCAAATTATGGAATTGGAATTGAGGGCTTCAATTCCATTTCTGATGTTTGGTAGCACAAAAATTATGTGAATTTGGAATTGATAGTGCAAAAAAATGAATTGGAATTGGCAGAATTCAATTCTATGAAATTGAATCTCATGGAATTTCAATTCCAATTCCATCAATTCCTTATACCAAACAGTTCTAAGGGTCCGTTTGGTATACAGAATTGACGGAACTGGAATTGAATTGGAAATGAGATTCTATGGGATTCAATTCCATAGAATTGAATTCTGCCAATTCCAATTCATTTTTTGCACTATCAATTCTAAATTCATATAATTTTTGTGCTACCAAACACCAGAATAGAAATTGAAGTCCTCAATTCCAATTTTATAATTTGAATTATATTTACCAAACGGGGCCTAAATTGAAGTTCGAAGTAATCACAAAATGTTAGGATTATAGTTAAACCCTTAACCGAACCGCCATTAAGAAATGTTGGGTAAAATTGAAGGCTCGCACCAATAATCATTCATTATTCACATAGGTGAGAATCATAATTAACAAATCAAATTTGAAGATAGGTGGATATGCTCGTATACCCATTTTATATTTGGGCCACCATAAACGGACCAATCTTTATGTTTTAGAGTTTTAAATCATTTTGCGGTGAATAAATAAATTGAGGGGCAACATAATCATAATAACTTTTTAAAATTTAACATTTCAATATTTATGCTCACTTTATATAATAATTATTACTACGTATTTTTTTGTAAAAGTAGTTTTTTTGTGTATGAAAAATAAAATACTTTTTTTTTTCTTTAAGGCATTCATTAAAATAACGTGATGATGATGATTAGACCTAGCAATCGGGTCAATCGATTCAGTTCCGGTTCGGGTCTTTTTAGTTCGAGTCTCATTCGGATATATGTTATAATCGGTTCGGGTCAGTTCGGTTCCGGGTTTGTATCGGTTCAGGTTTGTATCGGATCGGGTTTGTATCGGTTCGGATTTGTATCAATTCGAGTTTATATTGATTCGGGTTTGTATCGATTTAGGTTTATATTAGTTTCGATATATTTTAAATATTAAATAATAAATCAATAATATCACATAATAAATTTAATCAATTTATGATATACTCCATAGTTATTTTATTATTTAACACAGATGTACATAAAAAATAACACTTACATATAATTAACTAATTGTTTACATTCTAAAGTTTTCCCTCCTAAAATTTTTGGCGCGATTTTTTAGTTAACATTGTACTTCGTACTTCCTTTATTTCTAACTATCCATTTCACTCTGTGTCAAATATTTGAATAATTATATATAAAAATATATAATAAATTAAAATATACAGAGTAAAAATTATTACCAAATTGTGGGTATTAAAAAACACTTGAAATATATTATTTTTAATATTTTTGCTAATATTTTTGAAGAAACGATGTTGGTCAAACTTTAAGTTTGAAGGCGATAAAATACAAAAATACTTTAACTTAAGTTATAAAATACGGAGTAAAAGATTTGTACATGAAAGTAGTTATACGGTTTGCACTCATAATTTAAATATGTTTTTTTAGAAACACATCAACATATGTAAAAGTATATAGATAATTCTTTTTCTCCAAGTTCATTTGATAAATGAAATATTAATGAATTTGATCAATTTCGGGTATAATCGGTTCCGGGTTTAACCAGGTTCGGGTTTTATCAGTTCGGGTTAAATCGGATTCGGATCTGAATCGGGTCTGAATACATTCGGTTTGGTTTCGGTTCGGTTCGGGTTATTTCGGGTGTTCGGTTCTATTTCAGGTCTTTAGTTTTCGGGTCAAATCGGGTTCGGTTCCGGGTTATTCGGTTTGGGTCATCGGGTCCGGGTCAGTTTTGCCAGGTCTAATGATGATGATGATGATGATGATAATTTATAACAACAAAAATTAGAATGAGAATAATTTAAAAATAAACTAAAATAAATTTTTTAAAAAGATTTTTAGGTTTTCCAATTTCTTGTTGTTTTTCCAATTTCATCTAGTTATTTCTAGTTTCTTCCAGTTTCTTCCAACTTCTAACTCTTTTTTTCAGTCTTAAAGAACAGGCTCTAAGAGAGTGTTTGGAAGTGTGCTTGAAAATAGCTTTTGAATTTCAACTTCATTGAAACACATTTTTAAGTGTTTTCCAATCAGTTTTAGATTATAAATTGTGATTTCAGAAATGTAAATTGTTTTCTAGGAATGATTTTCACTAAAGCTCGGAGTAATTGCTTTCTATTTCTGATTTAGCACATCTGCCTTTTCAAGACTCACCGCACTCACAAACACCCTCTAATAACCATTCGATTATATTTTTGTGGTTCTAATTTATTACTTCTTTCGTCCCCATTTTGATAATAATTTTTTTCTCCTCTCAATAACTTTTATTTATTTACGCGATTTCATTAATTATTTGATAAAATAAAATATTGTTGTCACCTCTTATTTTGTCAAATTTTTGATGTAGTTTTTAATATATATATTTTTTATTTCTTATTGATATATCAATTTGTAAATAAAATAATTTTAAAAAGTGAGATATTTTTCTTCATAAATCCTAATTTGTAATCAAATTGAGGAAGGGAATATTTGGTTATCTTACAAGGTGGAGTACATTTTAACATCCATATGAATCCCATAATTTTACTTTTAAATTTCCTTGTTAGTAGTCTCATATATGTTTTAAAAACAGTGGGATATAGAAAATGTTATATTTTGAACTTTTTAACATAGGATCAGTTTTAGATAATTACTCGGTAGATGTTTTCAATTTTATATTTAACTCTTCTGTTCAATTTTACAGAGTTGAAAATTATAATAACAAATGCAGTAAAATTCTACAAATTAAAGCGTAAAATCTAGGAGGTTTTATATGCACACACTTTACTCTTACATACATATTTAAAAACATCAAAAGTTGTACAAAATAAATAGTCAAATTTCTATTTTATTTTATTAAATGATCAATGAAAGCGCGCACACAAACAAAGATTATTGTAAGCTTGGAGTACTTAACATGACGATCATTTTGGCACGAAGTGAGTACGTAATATGTTTTTATCCCCTAAATACGAACGTTGACATCGTTCAATGCAACAACTCGACATCATGTGTTGGCATTTTATACTCCCTCTGTCCCTAAATAGATTGCAATTTTTTTCTCTCCTCTCGATAACTTTTATTTGTTTACGCGATTTCAATAAGTATTTGATAAAATAAAATATTCTTGTCACCTCTTGTTTTGTACTCCTAGTAGAACTTTTGATGTAGTTTTTTAATATGTAATTTTTATATCTTATTGATATACCAATTTGTAAATAAAATAATTTTAAAAAGTAGAAAATTTTACTCTGTAACCGCAATTTGTAATCAAATTGGGGACGAAGGGTGTAGTATTTTTCACATTGCATAATGGAACTTTTTGACATTATAAAGCTTACTTTAGTATAAAAACATTTTATTAGTCGTCATATTAAAGACCCATTCGTATGGGACTTTACCTCATTTATACTCCCTCCGTCCAAAATTACATTTTACATTACGCCTTACGATATTTGACTGAAGTTATTTTCAAATTATTTTATATGAAAAATGGTGTAGAATTAAAAAATAAAAATTACATATTAAAAAACTATATCAAAAAATCTACAAAACTAGTGGTGACATGACTATATTATTTTATCAAATAGGTGACGAAAATAGGCCAACAAAGTGAATAAAATTTGACTCTGTGAATAGTAAACGTAAAGTTTATTTGTGGACGGAGGGAGTATAATGATTGGCCCTCTTTGGAATTTAGTTGTTGCTTGATATCAGTTCCTGTTGGTTGATTTGAATGACTAGTTGAGTTGGCTACTTTGACCAATTAATAATATTGGCTATTGATAAAAAATTGTTTGGCAAACTTAGCTTCTTCAACATACCTTTTATAAATTAAATTGAATGAAGTTTTTACCTATATAATTATATGGTATAATATGCTTTGCAATATATATATTCTTTCTTTTCTCAAATAAAAATTTAATTAAGCTATATATTATTCTAAAATCATTATGATTTTATAATTACACGTATAATTATTGACATGGGGAAGGACTATATGTTCCAAATTTTGTTCATAATTACAGAGTTTGTCAATACAGAGTTTGTCAATATGTTCCAAATTCTCAAAAAAAGTCTTTTTTCTCGCTAATCGCTTCATGAATTTTACATGGGGAAGGATTATTTATTTATTTATCAATTTTTTATTTATCAATTTTTATTTAATTACGCAATAACTAATGATTATTTTTTATTTATCAACAAAAATTACATAAAAAAAAACCAATTTCCAAACAGCCAAACTGAAATGCTACTCCTCCTAGCTTTTTAAATTTTGGTTTTTCGGACTCTAACAAGCAACCCTTGAAGCCAACTACCAAACACCTTTTTTGGCTCTTTGACCGGTCAAATCCCTTAAAACTGATCAAAACAGCAAAAACCAAACATGCCCAAGGCAGAGAGAATCAATGAATAAACCAATTCTCTAATCTCTACACTTCTATCGTCCTTCCCCATCCCCAATTCAACTGCACTGGTTCATATTGACAAGCTCTGTTCCTCTTCTCATTCATTGTGATACTTGTCGCATCACAATAAATAAAGTTGATGAGCGATTAAATTGCTTCAACTATGCTTGCGACGGTAGTAGGTAATGAGAATAAGTTGAAAAGAACATGACCTTACTTTCCATCCACATATTCGTCGAGCCGAGTGTGGGAACCCAACGAGTTGGGGATTCAACCTTTTGCAACTAGGAAAACAATTTGGGTAACACTTGACTAAAATTGTCAACAATGAAAAACTTAAAACTATTTTTTTTCGCAAAACATTTTCTTAGAGGATCAAAATTAGGAAGTACTATAATTTAGTCAGATTTTTCATTTACCCTCCTTGCACGACTAGAAATTTTGATATAGATTATAGTTTTGGGGGGTGGGTCATTTTTCCCTTTCTCCAACCAATATGGTTTATTGGTTTCTATAACTTAGGGCGGGCCTTAATCAACTTGTACTTCTGGGTTCTATGTTAAAAGGCCTATCAAAAAGACATCTATTTGATTTAATCACATGGAAACAGACTCCTTAGCTGCTGCTACATTATTTATGTTCACAGCAATGATGTTGTATTGTAGGATGAATTTGATGAATGGGATGAATCCAACACTACATAAATATCAGCATTATTAGCATCCTCAATCCATCCATTACTCCAAATTACTGGTAAAACTTTATGGTCAATTAAAGCAGAGAAGGTTTCAATGCCCTCAATGGGGATTTTTTTTTCTTTCAAGGATGCAAATTGATAGAAACACAGACTGAGCAACTACTACCTGACTTAAGCAAGGCTGAAGGAACTAGCAGTGCTCTCGACGAACTTCCTTGATCCTTTGAACCATCTCTTGTCGCCAGCTTGTGCCTTGCAGATGTAAAGCTTCCCGTCCGAAACAGTGGCGGTGATCAGCTGGTGTTTCCCCCCTTCATCCCCATCCGCCGTTCGTGTCAACACGGAGATGGAGTAGTATTGCTTCCCTTCCACCACCGGAGTTGATGTCTCCAAAATGTTTGCAGTCGCCACAGCATTAGAATCAAACCCTCCCTGCACCCACAACACGGTACGTGCAGAAGAACACCAAGTCTTACATTACCAATAATTGAATCACGAAAATTGCATTAGCGAGTTACCTCTGACTCGGTTTTGCCAGAGAATGCTTGTTTTCCCAGCAAATAGTCCACCTACAGGAAACGAAACATAAAGAAAAAAAAAGATCACATCACATTTTGTTAGAATAAAAAAAAAACTTTTCGTGGGCCACAACCACAAGCTTGAACTTTTGGTTGAATTGGTTGCTTGAGATGGTATCGGAGCCTTATTGACTAAGAGGTCACGGGTTCGAAGCTCAACGCCACCTACATTTTAAAAAAATTGAGGTTTCACGTGCAAGACTCGAAAAAAACTAAGCCTGCACGAGAGGGAGCGTGTTAGAATAAAAAAACATTTCCTAGGCCACAACTACAAGCTTGAGCTTTTGGTTGAGTAGGTTCTTTGACAAATCACATGAGCTTAATACTAATCTTAATCTACTACTGCATTGACCAGAGATGGATTTGATTTAATTTACTTGTGAAAGGAATTCTTCAGGTGATCCATAGTCTGCGATGGAATTCTTATCGGTCGGAGTGATCAAGACGCATACATTGCTGTTTGCATCAAAGTTGTCTTCGTATCTAAGAACCTGACCGGGATACTCAATTTCCTTGCTTGGATTCCACTTGGATGGAACCTGAAGCTTGAATCCATCTCCAGAGACCGGCAAGAACTCCGTGTTTGTTTTTGGCTTTCCAAAAACATTGGCTGCAATCCAAGCAAAAATTAGCATTCAGATTTTCCGTTCCCCACCAATTAGGTCTAAATTCATGAGATTAATTCAGATCGGTCAGATGTAAAGCTATGATCAAATTACTTGGCAATGTCCAGATAATTAATCATATTCGACTAGGAGATTTAAAGGAAAAATTGAAGCATGTACCGGCTTCTCCGTAGGCGGCATCAGCGGGGGAAGCTTTGAAGGCAACGGCGGCAGAGGCGATGAGGGCGGTGAGAGCCAATCTGCGGGAGACGGCGAGTGCGCCGCCGTCGATTTCAGTGGCCGCGGCGGACTGCATCCGGGCGCGGCAGAGGGGCCTGGGGAGGGGGCAGCAGGGGCGCGGGGATGACGTGGACGGCGTCCTGGAAGGGGTTGAGAGGGCATGGTGGCGCAAGTAGAAGCACTGTGTGGAAGCCATGATCGCCGGGAGCTTGCTCTGGTTAGAGCTCTTCGAACACTATCAACAAGGTGAGAAATGTCCACACATTGTGTGTGATGGGAATATGGGATGAATTGTTGTGGATAAGCGGGTTGAGGATATGATTGGTGCCACGTGGAATTTCAGGCTTATTGCAATCTCCGCCTTACCGCACCTAGATTGACACCTACATTCGTGTCAACTACTTGACACCTATATTGGTATCAACTAGGTGCTTCTTATTTTCAAAGAGACACTTGGGTTTGTGTGGTGTACATTTAGAATATACTATTTGGGACACTTTTGGGTTTTTCTTTAGTTTGATTCTGTTTACAACTATGCTTGGCTACACCAAAAAATGTACCCCAATTTATACTCTAAAGTCTAAAGAATATATCATCATTTTAATGATTCACACTAACAAAAAATCTTAGTTCAATCAAAAAAATTATAATAACATTTATGTCATAGCATCATACTAACACAAAATGTTAGTTTAAATCTAATTTTGCGAGTACATATATCATTTCCCTTGGGTTCACAATTTTGATAATTTGGTCTCATATTACTATTTTAGTAACATGAGTTGTTCTTTTGAAGTTTAAGATTCAGATATCATTACTACAAAAAAGACTTGAATTGGTTTTTTACTTTTTGCATTGGTTGTATACCGAAACAAAAGCGTGCGATGCAATTACTGACCGTTTCAAAAGACTATTTATACGCCCTGGAAGATGTTTTGCATCAGTTATTCCTTAATAATCGATGCAAAATAGTCTTTCCGGAATTAAGCGCTAAAATGGGGAAGTCCTTTGCATCGATTATTCCTGAATAACCGATGCAATTTGAAAAATGTTTTCCTCATATCAATTTAGAAGAATTTGAATCGTAAAAATAGTGACATGGAAAAACTAAAAAATGAAATAATTTATAAACTATAGTTATGAACATAAACCTAACTTTTATTTTAGAAATTTATCTTCAAAATCCAATGTCTCTATTTTTAGAAATGTATCTTCAAAATGTTAAATTTTAAAAAGTTTTTGTGGTTACGTTGCACCTTAATTTATTTATGCAGTGTTTATTATAAATAGTATATTTGTAAACTCCTCGTTACCGATGATCAACTTGCTAGGGGATATTAGGAATAATTGATGTATTAGAAATTAAACTATTATTATATATTACCTTCTTTATTATATTACTTCCTTATTGTATTGTTATTATAATTTTTGTCCTACTTATATTATAATTCACTCTTGTAATCCCTATATATATATATATATATATATATATATATATATATATATGGATGTATCCCTCATTATTTAATAAGACTAATTATTATTATCAAAATATAGCACTTTTATTATTTCTGGAATTCTTGAGAGACGTTCTGAGAACTATATCTGGTGGAATTAAATTTCATTGGCTTCAAAATTGTTTTAGTTTTTATTTATTTTTTATTTTTACTTTGAGGTTTATAATTTCGTACTCCCTCTGTCCCAAATTAAATTGCATGTTTACTATTCACGAGGTCAAATTTTATTCTTTTTCTTTTTCTTTTTGCGAAAGTCATTTGTTAAAATAAAATAATCATATCAACACTAGTTTTGTAGATCTTTTGATGCACTCCATAGTATTTTAATATCTAACTTTTCTTTTTAAATTCTACAACATTTTTCATATAAAATGATTTGAAAATAATTTCAGTCAAACGTCATAAATTGAAACATGCAATATAAACTGGGACAGAGGAAGTATTATTTAATTATATTATACTCCCTTCGTCCCAAAAAGATTTACACCTTTCAAAAAAATTGTGTTCCACAATCTCCTACCCATTTCTATTAAAAAACCACTTTTACTCCTTACTTTTTCAAACCCTACCTATCACATCATACTTTTTTCCTAATAATCTACACATCACATCTTACTTTTACCCATCACATCAAGGATATTTTTGGAAAGTCAACACAAAATTATCCCTCCTTTAATTTTTACTTTAGTCAAAATGAGTAACACTTTATGGGACGGAGGGAGTATATTTTTAACCTATTTATTTTAATTTAAATAAGTGTTAAAAATAATAGTAAAAATTGGAAAGAAAAGGGAAACCACACTGAAAAGAGAAGAGAAAATAGTGTAAAAGGAAAAACTAACATGTCGTTGATTTGGCAGAATGAGAAGAATGAAAGAGAGAAACTATGCCCCATAGCCTAATTAATGAGGAGACACATAGACTTGTCACTGATTTAATTTAATTCTCGTTTACAAATTATAAACCATTGTAAGTGTACATGAAAGATTGTATCTCAAGTGATATTGGTGCCATTAAAAAATTTTGCACTAGTTTATCTTATGTCTGTATCAACAATCAGAGTGTTGCTGCACACATAAGTTGTACATTTTGATGTACATGTAGCTTTATTCTTCTGTTTATCAAGGATGAACCCTATTTTAACCTTTAGGGTCTTCCATTTTGACTCCAAAATCAAAATCAACTTGTGAAGTGTAATTGACGGGTGTATGGGGTATGTTCGAGTCAGGGCGGGGTAGGTGGTTTATATATATAGACACACACACATAAATATATATATTAATGACGGTATATTGTCATAAAACTTATAATTGTGTACAATTTTAAATAATCTTAATTGTATTTATGACGAGATATATCGACACAAAAAAAGTATTTTGGTGATGGTTAAAGTACTCTCATTAGATAGTTTTTTTATAAGGGGACCTAGAGCCCGTCATTATATGTAATTAGCTACGGAGGCTATATGACGGTTGATGAGAGTAAATTTCTTCTCATTAAAATGTTTTAATGACGGTTTTCTTTGTTTTAAGTACGGTTTGTTCTCACACTATAGAGCATTTTTCTTGTAATGAAGTACTTCTTTAAGAAATTTCTGTGGTGCCTTAAGAAATGAGAGGGCATACATGCCCCTCCAATAAATGAATGCCATGTGGATAAATAAATTGAGCCTTAATAAAATATAGTCCACATCATATTAACTTTGACAAATTGCAAATGACCCCATGTTTTTCCATCTTTTAAACTCATCCCAGAGAGCTGTCTTCCGTTTTCGTTAACTTGTTTACGGAGTAATTTTTTCTGCACCCCTTCATTGCCGTCACAGCGCATCGCACCAAGAGACTCCAGAACACCGGCCGGCCGATGGTTTTCTTCCTCTACGTTAATCACAAAGTAATAGTCTCCACTCCATTTGTTGATCTTCAATTTTGGCATTCAATTTCCCAGCCTAATTAAGATATAGCATATTCTTTCTTTAATTTTTGTTTGGAACAATAGATGGATGTTAATCCACTATGTATGCCTTTAAGAAATCAACAAGTGGGTTTTTTGTCTGCGATGGCGGCCGGCATGCTGCGTCTTCCTGGTGCGATGCACTGGGACAGGAGTATATGAACGAAAAAGAAGAGAGAAGAGGAAGAAACTGATCGAAGAAAAAGAAAATAAAAAAACTAACGGGGCTCGCGGAATTGTTACCACACGGCAACGGGAGACAGTGCGTGCAGAGATTGAAGAGTTTAAAATATAGATTTGGAAAAAAGGGTGTATTTTGAAATTTCAAAAAATTATTATGAGGTGGACACTTTTAATAAAACTTATATTCATCAGTCCAAATGGCAGCCATTGAGTGGAGGGGCATGGATGCACCCTCTTTTCACAAGGCACCGGAGAAACCGCCTTATAATTAAGTGTTTTTTAAATTGATAATATCTAAGTAACTATTTTTCCAAGATGGAGGCCATGAGCCTACTTAGGGCGGCGGCCCCGTTTTTCTAGCAGCCACCCACTTAATTTGAAAGAATCATTTTGAGGACTTATTTACTCCCTCCGTCCTAAAACTTTCTTCCTAGTTTGACTTTTCCCCATTTTTAATTTTTGGTTTTGACTTCAAATTTTACCCTCCTTAAAAAAGATTTTTTGCAAATTTTTTTTTACAATCATTCAAAATATAGAGTTAGAAGATAATTGGTGTAAATACATGAGGGTATTAATGTCATTTGTTATCTTTTTTTTTCTAATGGGAAGGTAGTTTTAGGACGGAGAAAAAAGGGAAATGGGAAGAAAGTTTTAGGACAGAGGGAGTATAATTTAAGTGATGGAAATACCAAAATGTTCTCTATGTAATTGTCATTTAACAGGTTTTTTTGTCAAAAAATTATTTAGGAAATAAATTTCAATTACAAAAGACCATATTGCTAATTATTGCTCTGTAATTACTTACTACTTCCGTATGAGAGTATTTGTCTAGTTTTGACTTTTTTCTGTCAACTGCTTTTAACATTTGACCTATAATTAAATAAAATATACTCCGTATATTGTAATATTTTGAAAATATTTGATAAAACAAATCTAATAAACTATTTTATATTAATATCTAATATCATTTTTATTTAATTTGAAGTCAAAAATTACAAATTTTGTCTAAAAAATTAAAAATAACTAAATATTCAAAGAGGAAAAGAGTAGTATAACCTAATTTTAAAAAGCACCTTATTAGAAACCGTTTTGACTTTTGAGAATATACTCTAAAAATAATTTAGCATTCAACTAGGACAATTGGACAAAATGGGATTTGTAGGGATTTAAAGACATAAACCAATGAATCGGCATCTTTTGATTAGAGTGGTGGCGGGGTGACATTAAAAAAGGTCAAGACATGCACCCATTGCTCCACCTTCTTGAGGCGGTGGACGGCGATGGTGTCCGGGACCAGCTGGTGGGAACACTTCCCGTTACTCCCCGGGTAGTCGTACATCGCCGGCTTGTTGTTCACCCGGTTCTTCCCCCTCTTCCCCGCGTCCAACCACTGCCCCACCAGCTTATCCTCCGGCCCCCGGGTGTTGTTTGCCGGGATCCCCGACCGCCCGATCCACTCCACCAGATCCCACGACAGCACGTACCCCATCCCCGACATGTACCCCACGAAAGGGTTCATGCTGGGGCAGGGGATGACGAAACCGTAGTACATCCGCATGTACCCCGACATCTAGGGACGTCGCCAGTCGCTCCATCCGCAGGTACACGTCGTCGTCTGCCTTCATGACGTAGTCGTAGCGTGGGAGGATCCGCGGAAGGGACGAGAAGTAGGTGTGCGTCTTGCCAGTGTTCATGTTCTCGGTGCAGTTGAGGAGGACGATGTCGCGAAAGCGGAGGATCTCGAGGGCCACGATCGCTCCGATCTTGAGACGATCGTGGTCGGAGAGGTTGCAGATGATGAACTTGACGTCGATACGGACAGTGGTTAAGGCCGGTCCTGAAATGAGGAGTAGATATTTAGCAAAAGCTTGTTGATACTATGGGTAGTTGGGTATTTTCCTTTTAATTAAGGTAATACCGAGTAGTTTGATTAATTAAATTCATTTAATTTAAAGATTAATTAGTATAAAAATAAAAAAGAAAACCTATACATTTAAAAATTATACGAGACAAAAGGTGACAAAAACACTCGTATTTTATTTTATCAGATAATCAATGAAAATACACAAATAAACAAAAATTCTTGATGTTTTTTAAATAGTTAGTGATGAGTGTTAGTTATTGTAGGAGGGAGGGAGTACATAGAGACATACAGGGATGGCAATTCAACCCGAACCCGAGCTTAACCGACCCGACCGACCACTAAAATATCCGAACCCGAACCGAGAATAAAATAATCCGAACCCGACCCGAAATTTTTTACCCGAACCCGACATTGGGTCGGGTCGGGTGTGAGTTTATTATTTTACCCGACCCGACCCGACTCAAACCCGAATATTTTATAACATAAAAGCCTATCTATAGATATAATGAGCACTCCGTATAATCTCTTGACAAAGTGCTACTATATCAAGTATGTCATTTATAATCATTTTTATAATTCCTTAATAAAAAATGAGACACAAAAAAATTAGTTTTGATCTTTTTAAAATTATTGGGGTACATTGAATTGATTATTGGTTAAAAGTCGGGTTCGGGTCGGGTTCGGGTTTTGGGTTGGAATGTCGGGTTTGGGTCGGGTCGGGTTTTTGGCTTAAAAAATCGGGTTTCGGGTCGGGTTCGGGTATAGTACTATCCGCCCCGAACCCGACCCGTTGCCATCCCTAGAGACATAGTGTATGATATGTTGTGCAATGGTTAGTAGAAATAAAATAGACATTTTAACACAAATTAAAAGAATTTAATCAGAAGAGTGAAAAGTGTATTAAAAGTGAAATTGTTTATAAAACGTACTCCCTCCGTCTCATGAAACATGAGATCTTTTGCTTTTTGAAGAGATTTAGGGGAGTGTATTTTGGTATTGAATTTCCAAAAATGTTCTTTGATGTGATGGGTAAAAGTAGGTTTTGATGGGTAGATTATTAGTAAAAAGGTATGATGTGATAGGTAGGATATGAAAAGGTAAGGGGTAAAAATGACTTTTTAATAGAAATGAGAAGTGTTTTATGGGACAGATGAAAAAAGAAAGGAGAAATGTTTTATGGGACGGAGGGAGTATAAAGTATTTCCCACTTCCTCAATTTCGGAATACTTTCCTATTGAAGTTAGAATGAATTTAAGTTGTTTGAGAAACTTAAAAATAAAATTTATAGAATTAAAGAACAAATCAAGTTTGATCCATAAATTGATTACTGTAACAATTCAATTCTAGCTAGCATACAAATAACTATTGTTTAGTACTGAGAAATTACCTAAATAGGACTAAAACATAATGACTTTCCCAATATAGGACCATATGTTTTTATTTCCCAATGTAGCTTAGGACTTTTGGTCATTATCAAGTAGTCATTATTCAAGTAAATGTCTATCATTACTGGAATTATTCATTCCACTAGGTCATTATTTAGTCCTATTTAAGAAATAAAAAAGTCTAAATCCTACATTGGGAAAATCATTATGTTTTAGTCCTATTTAGTGCAAATTTTACTACTATTAAATGTTTTGACTGATTATTTGATAAAAAAAAATATTGAGTTGATTCTTTGAGACTCATCAGCGTCACTCGATCAGTTTTCAAAAAAATAAAGTTCCACGTCCAAAGCTCGAAGAGACATACTACGCTTGCACGCGAGAGAACATACGTCGTCTTAGAATATAAAAAAACTTTTTCTTAACCACAACTACAAGTTTCATTTTTCACTTGAGTTAGGTCCTAGACATAAAAGAGTATAATCCATGTAGCTAGTGATGAGGGGAGTATATATCAAGAAGTAATAGATACATGCCTTGCCCTGTCCCGGGGGCGCCACCGGCAATGGTAAATGTAGCGGGTGATGACTGGATGTCCTTGTAGACGAGGCGGAGGAGGTGGCGGCGGTCGTACTTTTCCGGTCGAGTGAAGATGCCGACGAGGAGCGTCATGAGTTCTGTGTGGGGGTTTGGCAATGTGAGGTGGTTCTTCTCGTCATTTGGAGTTGCAGTGATTAAGGAGAGATTAGGGTTTGAATGTGGTAATTGGGTGTTAAATTGGATTAATAATACCAAAAGCAGGATGACAATGGACAACAATGAAGCTAGAAGTGATTGCCTCTTTAATGGCAGCATCCTTTTAGATTTTTTAAATAATTATTAATAGTAATGTTGCTAGTAAATAATTCATTTCCAACAATAAATATCTACTATTAGGGATAGATAATATATGTAAGTTTTTTAGCACTATGGTAAGTGAATGAAAAAAAGCAAAAGAGCTGGGATGATAATTGAATGTTTGCTAGGCTATATACTACCTCCCTTCCTCATGAGTATTTTTCCAGCCTGTTTTAACTTTGTTCGATCAATCGTTTTCAACATTTGACTTATAATTAAATAAAATATAAATTATATTTTATTTAGATAAAATAATATTTGAAAATATTTTATATAATAAATATAATAAAATTATTTTTATATCAATATCGAATATCATTTTTACTTAATTTGAGGTCAAAGTTTTTCAATTTTAATCGAAAAAGTAAAAAAATAAACAAATACTCAAGGACGGATGGAGTACATATTATATAACAATGATATATATAGAACATAGAAGTATGTTGACAAGATCACAATAAAAATGTCACTTCTCTTTATTTTACTAAAATAGCCTAGAGCGGAGTATTGTTCAAGGAAATTCTTAATGGAGATACACTTATTTTACTAAGTAATTCTTTTTAAAAATAAAATAGAGGTGCTTTACATAAGTTTTATATCGATTTCTTAAATAAAAAATATAACTCATTTAGCACCTGACACTAAAGAATAAAGATGCTCTTATGTACAATTTTTTTAATGTAATTATTAACAAATTACTATATACACAAAAAATGTGAATTCGGACATGATTACATTTGCATTTATTAATGTTTTTCTACGTGACTTAATTTTTATTACTCTAAATACTTTTTGGATAGTGAAATTTGCACTGAATAGGACTAAAACATAAGTCATTTCCCAATATAAGACTTAAACTTTTTTATTCCTTAAATAGGACTTAATAATGACTAGTGAGCAAAATAAAGTCTAAGTGATACTGGACATTTTGTTGAATAATAACTAATAGATAATGACCAATAGTCCTATATTGGAAAATAAAAACATATGTTCATATAATAAAAAAATCATTATGTTACTCATATGTGTTGGCATGGAGAAGCTGCTCTATGTTTCATGCTACTAGGTTGCACCTTTTTCATGTGGCATATATGTTAACCAAAGTATATTTACACACCAGATTTGTTGTACCAACTAAAAGGTAACATGCTTAAAATGTGGCCTAAATTTGTTTTGTTTTTTTTTTTGAGAATTAACAAAAATGGAAACTAGGAGTTTCAACAAAAGAGTATGTGTATTTCGTAACAATAACAACAAGAAAGTCTTATCTCACTGGGTGAAGTTGGCTACATGGATCAAACAACGCTATTATGCCCTATCATGTATCATATCTGCTCTGAGATTAAGGTCTTCTTTAATTAGTGTTTGCCATGCAAGTCTCTTAGGTCACCCTCTTCTTTTAGTCATAGGTCTATTCACCATTCGATCAACCCTTCTCATATGATGTTCTATTGGTCTTTTCTCCACATGCCCAAACAATCTAACAGGTGTTCCTACCATCTTATTTATAATCTGTGCCCCTCCACAAGTATAAACGGTTAGTAAGTGTTACAATTCTCGCACGGATTACGACGGACGGGGAAGATGAACTGCCCTGGAAAATAAAAATAAATAAAATTTTGAATTTATACTTTATTCAGAATATTACAAAATAAACAAAATTGAACATAAATTTCTATATCTTCAAAAGGCCTTTATGCACTGGACAGCAAGGACATTATGCACTGGGCTGAAGCAGAAAGTCTGGGACGAAGATACTGTGAGAGGCAGCGAGGTCACTGACGCAGTGGCAAGGACATTATGGCCTAGGGCAGAATGCAGCGAGGTCTTTATGAACTGAACTTGCAAAACAAAACATCGTGGAAGGACAACGGAGTCGCCGGAGCTGTCCTTAAGGTAGTAGTGCCCGCCTAGCTATCGTGTGTGAAGATTTTACGGATCAAACACACACCAACGAATAAGAACAACGTAGGAACGTTGGCGACCAAAAACTTTGAAGGGGATTGCCGGAAATTCGGCCTGAAAATCAAGAGCTCTCTCTAAAAAAACAAGAAAGTATTTTTCCTTTGTTTTCCTTTCTCACGCCTGAAACACACACCAACAATGGAGAGCCCCTTTGATTTTTATAACTAAGTAATTTTAAAAAGTGTAACTTATACATTATTAAATCTTAGTATTAAACCATGACATTTGTGGCACACTAATGGCGTGTTAATGGTGATTAATTAGCCATTAACACGTCCGTTACACTACGCTCTTTTTAAAATTTGTCCCGAATAATTGGAGATTAATGGCTAGTTAACTCTGTAAAAATGGACTAATTTTAAATAATATGTAAAATTAATAATAGAAGTTTGGTTCATTAAAATTGCAAAAATTGCAATCCTTACCATATTCTTCTATTAACAGGTTAACTCTGAGAATCAATTTCTCATTCACCCTTTACCATTTTTGGCGTATAAATTATCAAAAACATTTATCTCATTTAAGAGAACATACGTCCATTAATTAACGGTTAAAACCATTAGTTGACCTATTGACAAATCTACCCAAGTTGGTCCATTTAATACCTATTAAAAATGGCAAAAATTCCAACAGTAAGAAGGTCAGACACTTGTAAGAAGACTGGGACGTTGACTAACCGACAAAGACACATTGCATGAAATGGATTTGGACTGAAGTTTGTGAGAGGTGTAGGGGCGAAGCCATGGATAATATAAACAACTAAAGGGTTGGATTTTAAGGTAGTTTGGACTTTGTTGATGGAGACGATAAAAGGGAGTGTCAAACTAAAGAATGGGGGTGGCATGCGGTTGATTAGATAGACCGCAGTTTGGACGACATATGGCCAAAAGGAGACAAACATAGACACAGAGTGGAGAAGAGCAAGACCAGTTTCGACGACATGTCGATGATGCCGTTCTGCCATGCTGTTGTGTTTTGGGGTATGAGGAGGGGTGGAAAAATGAGATATAACAAAAGAATTGAGCATGGACTTAAGTTTTATAAATTCCCCAACATTTTCGGAAAATAAAGTGATGATTTTGTGGTTGTAGTAATTCTCCACAAGATTTTTGTACACAGGAAAAACTTGAAATACTTCTGATTTTTGTTTGAGAGGATATAACCAGATATATTTGGTGAAGTAATCAATAAAAATGACATAATGATGGTATCCATCATATGAAATCTCAGAACAACTCTAAACATCAGTATAGACTAGTTCAAGGGGTTTGTGACTAATAAGAGTTTTTTCATGAAATGGCATTTTGTGTATTTTATTAATATGACACGAGTGACAATGAAACCTATCTAGGTCCTTTATAGGAAAGAGCTTATTACAACTAGAGAGAATGGTGGACAATATTTTATTTGAGGGATGCCCAAAGCTATGATGTAGAGTGGACACAGACAATAATAGACTCCATAGAGATTGGTTCCGCAAAGAAGACACGCCCTCAATTTCAGATCCTTCACATAAAAACAAGAGGGAAAAAATTCAATAGACACATGGTTAGTTTGACATATTGTGAAACAGAGACAAGATTTTTGTGAAGATTGGGAACACATAAAACATTGGTGAGTGTAAGGGGACGAGAGGGTGTAGGGATAAGTGTTTGTCCAGTGCGAGTGACTTTCAAACCATTACCATTTCCCAGGCAGATCTCATCAAGACCACTGTAGTTAGAGAAGGACTGCAGAACATGCGGAGTTGGCGTGGTGTGGTGACTAGCCCCACTGTCAAAGAGCCATGGGGACATGGAAGGGTTGGAGGCCATAGTGAAATTGACGAGTGGGTGATTCATTTGAGTATTGTGAACAATTGGAACAACACCATGCTCACGAAGAAAGTGGGCAAGCTTCTGACAAACCTTGACATCATGACCAGGGATGTTGTACTATTGAAAAGAACTAGCAGTGTAAGATGAAGATCGGACGGGGTAGGTATACCCTCCACGACTACGACGGCCACCCGATGTGGTAGCCCGATCGGCGGACGTCCGGGAATTCTGGCCAGTGGGGTACCGCCACTACTACAAAAAAGGTCTTTTAAATCAGTCATTTTTACCTTTTTAAATCAGTTGGAACCCGATGCAAATGTTGGCGATGCAAATGCTGAGATAACTATTTGCATAAGTTGTGAAACCGATTCAAATGCCTCTTCTAAGAAGCGGCACCAATTTTGGGAAGGGGCATCTGAATCGGTTGTTAGCTAACAACCGATTCAAATGCCCCTTCCTAGAAGTGGGAAGGAGCATTTGAATAGGTTTTTAGGTAACAACCGATTCAAATGCTCCTTCCCATTTCTAGGGGAGGGTCTTTTGCATCGGCTTCTAGCTAACAACCGATGCAAATAAGATTTTTTTTACATGGCAGTTTGTTAGCTAACAACCCACCATAATTGGAATTTTGCACAGAATTCGCAAAATTATGTGCAAAATTTCTAGAACTAACAACAACACAACAACAACACAACACAACAACACAACTTTATACACAAAACCAAATTAAACAAAACAAACCAAAAAAAAGTAAATTAAGAGTCATACATTTACAAGCTAAGCTATAACATCACAACTAAGAGTCATACAATAAATAAACTACACTCTTCTAAAAGTCATACAACCAACTACACAATGCAACACAAAACTTACACTAGTTCATCAAGAAAACCCCCCCGCCCAAAAATCTCTAACCTCGTCTAATTCGGCGACGATGTAGGGCGAAGTAGAATGAATTGGCGAAACACTTGCGATACGAAAACAACATACAATATAAAGTTTAATAATCTATGAAAAAGAAAATGATGATGAACACTTTATTAGTTTCAAAAACACACTAAAATAAACTTTCATCGTATAACGGCATAGAACACCAAGCACACAAAGTGACGATGACCCATAAAAATCGTATAGTATAATATCCACACTCTACCCCCTGGTTGTTGGGGTGCTCCAGGAACATCAATCCAATCCGGTCGAGCCTTAAGCTAAGGCATGTGTTGTTCCCGAAGTAACCGTCAAGACCTTTAATACATATGTAAAAAACAAATCAATAAGAAATAAGTTTCTTAATAAATAAAGAATTTCATCAATAAGAAATAAATTTCTTAATACTTACTCGTGGACGAAAGTCTTCACTTTCATTGGCTTATGCCCTCCGGTCTCCTTGAGTGAGTTAAAGAAATACATTTTGTTTTCAAACAAGCGTATTACATCTAACACCCAATGATGCCTACAATTGAAAAAACGTTAGCCATTAGCTTCATAATCAATATAAAAAACTGGAATATATATTGGAAATGGTTTAGAAAACATACGATTTTGTGAGAGATAACGACATAAGTATCAATGGTCGCAATTGATAAGACTCAAGTGCTCTATCCAGATATTGGTGATCTCCATAATCTACCACGTACGCCATGTTCTCCGGACATAACAACCCGACAGTTGTGATGTCGTGCTCCATCATATGATCGTGCAACAATCTAGTTATTTCATAGGTAAATAATAATTACAATTATAACAAATAATTATAACATACATTGCATAAACTCTTGTACAATTAGAACGTGATTGCATTTTATTCGTATGTAGTGCTTGGCATACCTCAAAAAAACAATGATGATGGTCTGATCGACCTCCTCCCATCGCATGAACTCGCGTATATTCTCCGGATGCATCCTCAGCTCTGTCTCCTCCGGATAGAGCATGCACTTGGGATTGAGAATGGCGCTGATGGTAGGCAAAGAAGATGTTTGTGTCAGCCACTGACACAACTCTCTGCATCTCAGACCAAAAGATGCATACAAGCTACGGTCAACAACATCCTATACGGGAGAGCTAGGAGGAGCAGTGGGGCGTACGCCGAGAATAAGACGAGATTTGCTTGATGAGAAGTTGCTTTGTCGAGACATGTGCACCGGGGGCTACGAATATTTGCAAAAAAAGACATGTGAAACACGACCCAAATGATGTTGAATAAAAAAGAACTAAATTTATTAACTTCTTACATTTCCAAGGCCCACTAATGACTTTGGCCATGCGACGAAGCTCCCCTCGCAATCTGCGACAGTCTCTATGTTTTCAGTCGGACAAGGATTGGGATATTCACCCATTCCAAGAAGCACCAAAGTCACGATGACCTTGACCTGATGGGGAAGGAGGAGAACACCATGCACCACATCTCCCGGTGCATGTGGGAAAACCAATCCATGTTTCACTATATAATCGGCTGGATCAGAGATCCTCAAGTAACAAGCACCAACTTACAAAAAAATTAGTTAACTAATGTTGAAAACAAGTAAACACAAACCTAACTTGAAACCTAAATTAAAAAATATATGTACTTCGGTGAGATCGACGAAGTCAACAAAATCTATAGACGCCTTGCTACTACGCTGCACATGATGAGGTGCTACAGAAGGTGTATGCTGCGACATGGATCCAAAATCTGGAGCACCCCCAGACAAAGATAGTCCATACTGCTGCAAAAGGCTAGGGAAGGAAAACGATGCAAAAGATCCTGCTCAACCATATAGTTACCTTCGGACTTACGGGGCTTCATGTTGCCTTTGAAGACTTTACGTAAGCCCACGTATGACCCAATACCCTCATCCGCCCTGGGTGCTCAGCAGTTCCTTAAGATCTAATCAGTACATCATTGTGTCCCTTTGGCACAAAGATACCGGCCGCCACCTATTCCTTCAGCTAGACCTTCGAACCTCACAGGATCATGCATAGTAATATAGTTTTCAAAAAAATTACACCGTAGTTTTTACCATTCAATAGATTAGAGGTGCGACTTGTCTTCCATTTCAAATTTTCAATGCGTTAGATTTCTCAATCTTAATTAAATGCAATTATAATCCTTACTGTGGTGAGTGTGTAACCCAATTCCAAAAGATAACCATCTCGTCATATGGGCTTTCAGACACAAAGGAACAGTATAGTCCGAAACGGAGGCCCACATTTCGGACCGAAGAACGTCGATTTCTGGTTCAACTTTCTTCTTTTTTCAGCTCTGCAAACGAACGTCGTAGAAGTCAGAGGGAGATCATCATCCTTCCTTCGCTCCCTTTCTATCTTCGTGCTGGGGCGGGCATCTCTTTCTAGTTATTTGCATCTTAAAGTTCAATCGAATTCTGGTAATTTCGACAAATCTTCGCGAATCAAATCCACACCGGAAGATCTATTTCAAGCCGCGGATTGAATCATTTATGTTTTTCTCACCGATTCATTGTTTCCAATTCCCAGGAAAGGAAAAATAGAGAAATAAAAAGATGGGAGTGAAACAGGCAATCAAAGCAATAGATGCTTTTCCCCGTGCTGAAGAGCATTTGTTGCAGAAGACCAAATCTGGCGCCCTTGGTATTCCTTTTGTCATGTTTTTATAAACTTATAATATCTGAATTGCAGGAATTGTAGATTTCTTCTCAAATCAGTTCGTATAATTATTAGCATAGTATGTGTTTGATTGAAAAAGTGGAGATTTTGATTTTCTAATTCTATTCACCTTTATGCCCAGCCAGCCAAATGCAGAAAGATTTTTTCCCAGGAATATAAAAACAATAAGAAATAGTATTCCCGGGAACATGAACAATAAATTGTTTCCCAGAAAACAAATCAATCAAGCGTAATGGTTTCTCCCTACTAAATATAAATGTGTTTTAAATTTTAACATGCAGTTTTACTTGTTAAGCTTGGTGGGATTGGAAATTGAGCCTTAGCCCTACCTAGAATTGGAAAATAATGGGGGATCTGCTGTGAATTTTTTTTTGCAATTATTTATGCATGTTTGGTAAATAGATGATTGACATGTTAGATGAATCCATTTGTTTGTTTAAGTCACTAACTATCTCATTATTATCATCCTAGTCTCTATTGTCGGGTTAGTCATCATGGCAACACTTTTCTTGCACGAACTAAGATATTATCTTACCACAAATACAGTTCATCAGGTTTGCATTACACTTCAAAATGCTGTTATTATCTTTAATTTTAATTTTTTCCAGTTCAAATTGATTGCAATTCTGATCTATAATGTGTATGCATTTTGCTTATGTAATAATTATGTACTGGCAGATGGCTGTTGACTTGAAACGTGGGGAAACTCTCCCCATACACATCAATATGTCATTCCCTTCTTTGCCTTGTGATGGTAAGAAACCTTGTTTGTGCCTTTTCATACATTTCCATGCCACTGTGTGTGTCTGTGTGCGTAGAAGGGGCAAACTTGGCGCATGTGTGGGGGCGCAATGGTTATTTATTATTCCTAGCTGCAATACTTTCATCGAAGCAGATGCTCAATTTCTTTAAATTTGATGTGCATTTGACAGTTTTGAGCGTCGATGCAATTGACATGTCTGGAAAGCATGAAGTAGATCTTGATACTAATATATGGAAGGTAATAAATCTGTTTATCTTCTTTTTTAAACATTAAATGTATATATCAATAATCCATCCATGTTTTCGCATAACAGAGGATTTAACGGAAACGATGGTCGTGGACCATCAACTTTTATCAAATATTTGGGGGAAAAAGAGTTGTCCCAAGAAGGTGTCATATTTGAACTTAAAGCTAATTTATCATTATTCTAGTGTTTATTAAGTAAAAAAAGTATCCCAAACAAGTTAAATATGTTAATTTGTGCTAAACCTACAAATAAATTTATGTATTATAAAATACATAAGATGGTATTAAAAAGACATGCTGTTGTAAAAAAAATTGACCAACTCAGTGTTGAAGAGAGATGAATAGAGAAATGCGCCCTCCTTCCCAAAAAAGAGCCATGTTTGGAGGGAAAAAGAATTGTCCCAAAAAATGAGCTTTTTCAAACTTAAAGCTAATTTATCCTTATTCTAGTGTTTATTTAGTAACAAAAGTATCACAAACATGTTAAATTGTGTTAAACCTACAAATAACAACAAAAACAACAAAGCCTTATCCACTAGGCGGAGTCGGCTACATGGATCAAACGACGCCATTGCATCTTATCATGTATCATATCCGTTCTAAGATCATTCATGCAAATGTTTCCTTTAATCAGTGCTTGCCAAGTCCTCTTAGGTTTACCTCTTCTTTTAGTCACATGTCTATTCACCATTCGATAAACCCTTTTCACAGAATGCTCTATTGGTCTTCTCTCCACATGTTTAAACCACATAAGATGAGTTTCTACCATTTTTTCTACGATAGGTGCCACTCCAACTTTAGCTCTCGTATCTTCATTCTTTATTCTATCCATACGCATATGACCGCTCATTCAACGAAGCATTTCATTTCCGCCACACTAATCTTGTGTTCATGCTCACCCTTTGCAGCCCAACACTCTGTTCCATACAATATAGCTGGTCTAATAGCAGTACGGTAAAATTTTCCCTTTAGTTTTAAGGGTACTTTTTTGTCACATATAAAGCCCGAAGCACTCCGCCATTTTGACCAACCGACTTGAATCTTGTGGTTAACAATTAACATCATCCTCTATATCTCCATTGTCTTGAATGATAGACCCAAGATATTTAAATCTTGTTACTTGTGGTATAGTATATTCTCCGACTTTCACCTCGATGTTACTATTTCTCCTTCCGGTTCTAAACTTGCACTCCATATACTCTGTTTTAGTACGACTTATACGCAAGCCATGCAACTCCAAAGCATGTCTCCACGCACCCAACTTCACATTCAAAACCTCTCGTGATTTGCTCATAAGGATGATGTCATCGGCAAATAGCATACACCATGGTACGGGTTCTTGGATATGCTCGGTAAGAACGTCCAATACTAGTGTAAAAAGATACGGGTTAAACCTACAAATAAATTTAAAAATATAGTTACGGAGTATAATTTTATATACTTTGACTTCCAGTAATTGTAACTTAATAAATTCAGTTGTACCTTGGCAAAAGATGACTTATTTTATGGGATGTATATAGTAGATTCTATGAACAACAGATCCATGAAAATTAGGATTAAGGATTTAACAGATATGATTTATTTTTGTCAGTGTTTTTTTATTAGTACATTTAGAAGATCATGAAAAGCCATGAATTTGAATTTTTCGGATCAAGAGATTTAGGCATTTAGCAATATCTTGTCTACTAAACAAATTTCCACACGTTACTAGCTCTTGTTAGTTAGTTTGTACATCTTTTATTCTTTTACATATTGAAACTTATAAACACATTCGTTTGTAATATACTCATCGGTAGATGCTTTATGCAGCTTCGTTTAAACCATGATGGCTACATTATTGGCACTGAATATGTATCAGACCTGGTGGAGAAGGAACATTCAAAGGAGCATTCGGGTCACAACCATGGTGAATTGTTTCTTTTATTTATAATTGTTTCAAATTTACCATTTTGCCTTCGGAGGGAAGAATATTTTTCTATATACTTGCACATCAGTACGTAATTAGTTTCATTTTGCAAAAAAAAGTTTTGGGTAATATAATTCAAAACAATTGTCATCAGATGATCATAAAGACCATCAGAAAGATTTACACCAGCAAGGTTTTGACGAAGAAGCTGAAAAATTTATTAAAAAAGTTAAGCAAGCATTGGATAACGGAGAAGGATGCCGGGTTCGTCTTTAGTAGTTCCAATGTCAGTGCTTTTGTTAGATGTCTTTTAAAATGTTGGTAATTAATAAGGTATATAGTTCTCTACAGGTGTATGGTACTTTGGATGTTCAACGTGTTGCTGGCAACTTTCATATATCTGTCCATGGCCTTAACATTTTTGTTGCTCAAATGGTCAGCTTCCTTTGGATTCTACAATATTAGAATCTTGAGTTTTCGGAGAACACACTATCATCAATGCACCCCCACCCCGGAAAAAATACTAAGGCAGTGTTTGATGCACAGTAAATGTTTTTCCACTGTTGTCTTGTGTTTTCTGNGGGGGGGGGGGGGTAGGGGATTTTGTTCAAGAATCATTTTTTGTTAAGAGAAGGAAATCAGTATTTCACGCCCTTAGAAATTTGTGTGTTGCACTACTATTTCATAGGCATGTGGTCAACTTTTGTAGGATAAAAGACACTTGAGAATATGGCTGCCCAGTAAATTATTTTGAGGAAATTTACCAGGAACTAGAAAATGTTATGGGAAATTTGGTTTTCTTTGGAAAAATATTTTCCATGAAATTCATTTTCAAGAAGATTAATTTCTTATCTGCCAAACACTACCTAAAATTAACAATAGCTTAGATTCGCATTAACCAGTTCCATGTTGCATGGATGATCAGTAACATCTTTTAATTAAAGTGGTTTGGAAAAGCTTGAAATAACAGACGCTTCCTTGTAATTGTTTAATGCATTTCTTTTTCTGCACAGATTTTTCAAGGGTCTAATCATGTTAATGTAAGTCATGTCATCCATGACTTATCATTTGGCCCAAAATATCCCGGAATCCACAACCCTCTAGATGGCACGGAACGGATTTTGCATGGGGCAAGTGGAACTTTCAAATATTATATAAAGGTTTGTGGTCTGGACCTTATAATGATGGATTTAATGCATTGCAGTGCTGATGAAGTTGTTCACTGGGTAAAGAACTTCAAGTACCCCCCCCCCCCCAAAGGGGGACTGGCTCTATAAACTTGTCTTGAAATTCGTGTTCTTTTGGGCAGATTGTTCCTACTGAATACAGATATCTGTCGAAAGAAGTTTTACCTACTAATCAATTCTCTGTGACTGAGTATTATTCCCCAATACACGAGTTTGATCGGGCATGGCCAGGTTGGTTTCAATACTAAATTTTCTCTAGAGTATACTTTAAAAGCACATATTCATGTTCAAGGAAAAATCTCATTTACTAAGCGGGTGTTTCTCTTTGCTTGTTGCTGAAACCGCTTATAAGTCATAAGTTGAAAACTTATATGTCAGGTTGTTTATAAGTATAAAAAAATTTGGTCTTACCTACTTATTTTTAAGCAAGCTTTTTTTTTTCCTCTTTGTTTTGACCAAATCTTGTACTCTCCCTAACCTTTAATGAGTCTTCCCAAATGACTCATCTCTCATTCAAGCCACTTTACAAAAATAAGCATAACTGCTTATCAGCAATAAGCCAATAAGCACTAGCACAAAGAAGAATGCATTTGTTCATCCAGTTTTGGGTTATCTTATCTTAATATAATATGTTTCTGATGTATTCATTGCCGAAACTTTCTCCACTTCATCACCCGGCTTTGTGCAGTTCTTGGTGGTACATTTGCCTTGACAGGTTTGCAATTTTAAACAAGAACCTTGAACGAAGCCCTATTTTAAATTAACAGATTAAATTTTATTTAAATTTGTTTTGGAGATTTTTTCACTGTTACCATCAGAGAAGAACGCCGAAACTTTCTCCACTTCATCACCCGGCTTTGTGCAGTTCTTGGTGGTACATTTGCCTTGACAGGTTTGCAATTTTAAACAAGAACCTTGAACGAAGCCCTATTTTAAATTAACAGATTAAATTTTATTTAAATTTGTTTTGGAGATTTTTTCTTACTTCCCCGAAAAACTTCGGTCACCTACAGGAATGCTGGACAGATGGATGTATCGGTTTGTTGAAGCAGTGACAAAGCCAAACAGTAGAAATATTGTTAGGTAAATTTTGCCCAACCTGATGGAAATCACAGTGTATTATTAACTCTTGGAGCGCGTCTAATATGCTTCCATTGTGGTTTCGTTATTATTCTTCTGCAAAACTAACTTCCCAACATTGTATTTCAACACATATATATTTATTATATATACATACATCGATTAAAAGCTAGAATTATGGATTTTTTTGCATTATTGCTAGCTATGCAGAAATGTAAAAGGACAAAGGTAATTTTTTAAGCTGCTGACAGCTGAGTTTATATAAACATTGCAATGATGACAATAATGTTTGTGCTATGCTTCATTTGATTCTATTCTAATTTTTGTGTACATTGCCAAATGGAAAATGTTGTACTACCATCACCCCAAATCTTTCTTCCTTCTTGTATTGGTTTGACACGGTTTTTAATGTAATGTGTAGAATGCTTTGGGGAGGTGTGAAAAAGGTGGAGGAGCTTTCCTCTTTCATCTTGTGTGTTGTTGGAACAAAAAAAAACATAAAAACAGATCCAAGAATCACAGATCCGATTCTGATTTATTTTTCGCACTGTCCATGGGAAATTCACTAACCATGAATTTTAACGAGTATGATAACTCTACATCCAAAATCTAGATTTGACTTGTGCTCGCATGGACACCGGAAATCGGTGGTGGAGGCAACGAAGGAGATCTAAGAGTTCAATGCGTAGTCGAGAACAGAGATATTGCAAGAAATTTTAAAAGAGAAATGACTTAATTAGTTAGTGATGGCGGTTGAGGAGGAAGGTCGCCGTGGCTGTAGAGGAAGCGGCCTTGGTAGCGGCAGTTAAGGATATGGGAGTTGGTAGCGGTAGAACAAACATTTGTGGAGGGTGAAAAAGTAGGCTTGCGCAAACACGGACCCGGGCCTGAGGTTCATTTTTCGCCCATATATCTGGGTGGGCCAAGCCCGCCCGCATAATTCGTACCACACATCGCGCTCATATCCGCCCATGTAAGTGATCAAAATTGGCCACATGGCAGTCTGGCCCGCAACTTTTTGATATATATCTTTTTTATAATACATAAAATATTTTTATTTAACACTTTATTTCATATTATAATAAACATTATATGATTTTTACACCTTACAACGTTATAATATGAATAAAGGATGTGTATCTATTATTTTACTTAATGGTAAAATGAACTATTTCATATTATATTGTTTCAGAAAGCTACATATCTGTATAATATATTGTGTGTGTAATAAATTAGTATGATACGAAGTATATGTGTGTATATTATATATTTATATACATTCATATAATATGGGCGGGCCTGCCGACCCATGCAGGCCAAACTCAATATTCAAGCCCGTCCATATTATCTTGCAGGCTGGCGGATCGGATGGATTCATATAGTTGTCCATATCCGCCTATTTTTAAAGGCGGGATGGGCGGGCCGGACGGACCGGCCTGAGTTTGTGCAGGTCTATGAAAAAGGCGTGTCAGGAATTACAGGGGTGGGGTTTGGGTAGTGACCGAGAGTAATTTGAAGGGTAAATATATCTTTTTTATTTTACTTTATTGCAATTTATAGAAATGAGAAAAAAGATATGGGACGATGTTTAAAAGAAAGTGAGAAGAAAGATATGAGACGGAGGGAGTATTTAACAACGAACTAGTCGAACCTAGTAAAGTTCCACCGAAGAAGGGTTCGGGGGCAAATACTATGTTTCAGTTAGCGAAAATGAAGTTTACATAGCGGTCTACTAAAATTTTGTTAAACCTGGCAAAAATTGATCCGATTTATTTTTTTACTTGAGACCCAATCTAAAAATACTGGATTTTGAACTAAGATTTTGTTGACCGGACCTAAAACGACAAGTTAGAAATGGGTCAAACCTAACAGAATCTAAACTGATCGACTCGCTAACATAAGAGTTTTTCAAAATTATGTACTTTAATATGAAAAAATAATGTAATAAAAATAAGGTTGTATTACTCATTTTTAATGTATAAACTCATATTTTCAAACCTGTTTTTTATAACTTCACATAATTTTCTTTAAGTTTTCCAAAATTGGTTCATTTAATTTTTTTATATTATTCCTATATTGTTTAGTATATCTAAGAAGTAATTAAAAAATTTAAAAAAAATATTTTAGTAGCTTTAATATATGTATTTTTTTATTTTATTATTTTTTAGTGTAAAATGCAAGGGTTTCTAAGAATTTATATATTCCAATAATAAAGTTTATAGCCCGTTGGGTCGACTTGAATATGATGACACTAGATCATGAACATGCAATTGTAATCCAAACATGATATAACCTGAATCCGAACCTGACATGACCAGCCAATTTGCTAGTTGTAGTATTATTTATGTTGTGAGTTAATATTTTTTCATTTATTGAGCTACCTGATAAAAATAGAAAGCAACACTATAACACTCAGGGTCCGTTTGGTACACGGAATTGATGGAATTGGAATTGAATTGAAATTGAAATTCCATGGGATACAATTCTATAGAATTGAATTCTGCCAATTTTAATTCATTTTTTGCACTATCAATTCCAAATTCACATAATTTTTGTACTACCAAACACCAGAATTGGAATTGAAGCCCTCAATTCCAATTCCATAGTTTGAATTCCGTATACCAAACGGGGCCTCAATAGAAATTAGTGATATCAATTTGGGCCACAATGAAATTTCATAAACTAAATTTCTTCGTTGTCAACCCTTTTACAGGTTGAAGCTAACATACTCATATTTTATTGTAGAAGTGGCGATGTAAATTTGTTTCTTTGAACTCTAAGAGATTGCTCCTCTATCAAGTGAAAATACCAATCCACTTGTTGAGGAAAAGTCTTCCATATTCGTAGACCGTAGACCATTGTCCATCTTGCATCAAACATCCTTTAAGAACAAGAGGATCTACTGCCTCCCATACCATAGTCTATTGGTTTTCCTCAACTACTTAAATACTCTATGTAACACTTGCCAATGATGTGTACCTGGAATATTAGTGAGCCTACTTAGCATATTGATGACATGCTATCTTTGCACTTGTGCTAACCATGGCATAAACTAAGCAACCAATAGTGGACCTATTAGGTCTTGTGTCAAGCATGACATACATTGAGCAATCAATAGGAGCCTATTCGGTTTTGTGCTAACCATGCCATACTCAGATCGGTCAGCTTCCCTAAGCAGTGCTAGGTGAGTGCGCCTTTAGGTCGAATGATGCGTCCCTCGATCAAACACTTTTTAAGTTTTGAAAAGATTAAACATAGTATAGGTAAATAAGTGTAATGATTTGTTTCAAATGAGTTAGCCATAGTCCAAATCATTTCTTTTCTAGCCATAAACTAGCTAAGGGTTTTGCTACATTGACCTTGCTACCGAATGTTGCTGCCCATGAACTCTTGCTATAAAATTTATAATATCATTGAACAAGCGTGCATTCCACTCCTCTAAAATCGTTAGCAACATATATTAAAATTCACGTTCAATCTAAATGAGTATAATTATATAAAATAAGCGATGACACTAATTAAAATAACAAACATGGGCTCTATAGTATTGAAGACTAATTGGATATTTCAAGGTGTAAGGAATTCTCTATCTAATGCAAACCTATTGGCAAAGGATTATTGGCTAAATTTCACATAGAGTACGTGAAAATGATCTTCCCAAGGGAGAAATTTCTAAATAGAAATGAGAGTTAAAATACCAAGATAGAAGTGTTAATCTTATACTTTGTAAGACTTAAACTTGACTTCACAATAATCTTATAAAATTATCACATTGTCATAAACTACAATTCCATCTGCCAATTGTCGCCACAACACTGCCACCTATTATTCTCGGTCCCCGTTGTGGGTTGCCAAAGCGCCGCCAGTTGCTAACACTAACAAGCGGTCCACCACCACGCTGTCACTCATCTTATAGCGTCATTCTCATCACATTGTCGATCATAACACTTCTATTTAGGGTACTAGAATTATATCACTCCAATTTTAGTACTTTCATAGTTTCATATCATTTTTTATGGTTGTGTTGAATTGATTTTTCACAAAAGCTAAAAATTTGGTTAAGTATTAGAAAATTTCAAATTTATAACGAAGAGGAAAAACTCATAAGTAATGCGAGTAGTCATCCAAAAGTAACATGTAAAACTTGAAACTTATAATAGAGGGAACATCAAATTTTTATAAATCAGTATGGAGTAACTGAAAAGGAAAAGTTGAAATACAATTAGATAATTAAATGAGAGACGAACATGTTTTCCTAGTTGACAAGAATCACATAAAGTAGAATTTTGATTTTAATTTAAAGAATATAAGGGAATAGGAACTTAATGAAGGACAACGGGAATAGGGTGGCAAAGTCGACGATACCAAGTGTCAATGTCAATTGTGGCAACGTGGGCTTGGACGTTTGAAGATCCTTCATAGAAAAACCATTGGAGTCAAATTCAATAGAGCAGTTATTATCATATGTAAATTGATGAACAACAATAAGACTATGAATTATGTGGGGGTGAAATAAGGACATTTTTTAGGGAGAGAGGGGTGGGTATTAAGAATGTTTACCTATTACATTAGTGTACACTTTGGATCCATTACCATTAGTATATTATGGTGGTGAATGTAAACTTGAATTAAAAACATACTCCCCCCGTCCCTAAAAACATGAGAGGTTTTGATTTTTAATGAATTTAAGGGGAGTATATTTTGGTATTGAGTTTCCAAAAATGTCCTTTGATATGATGGGTAAAAGTAGGATTTGATGGGTAGATTAATAGCAAATAGATGTGATGTGATAAGTAGGTTAAGAATTAGTAGGGGTAAAAGTGACTTTTGAATAGAAATGAGAAAATTTGTTTTTATACAGGTGAAAAAAAGAGAAAGGAGGGAGTAGAAAATTGTGCCTGGGTCGGAGGCGTTGTGATGTGAAACTCATATGTCCATATACTAAGCAAGTTCACAAAGGGAAAAGGTGTCAAAAGAGTGGGCTAAGGCTGCGCGTGTGGGGGTGTCGGGTTGGGTTTGAAAACTAGCAGATGAGGTTGTGGGTGGGCTGTAGGATCAGGTAAGGGGGTAGGGTAATGCCGTAATGGTAAGAGGGGTAGGGGTTTAGGTAGGGGTGGGCATAGTAGGCATGAACATAGTAGCGTGGGGGTGGATTATTAGACCCAGGGCTTAGGATACTAG